CTTCACCCCATCTTCATCTTCCTCTGCCCCTCGTCATCCTCAGTCCCAACCTTCTATTTACAGCTTCATCCTCCTTCATCTTCATCCTCATCTTCACTCCCCATCATCTTCATCATCTTCATCCTCTTTTCTCCCTCCTCATCCTCATCCCCCCCTTCCTCCTCATCCTCTTTCACCCCATCTTCATCTTCCTCTGTCCCTCCTCATCCTCAGTCCCATCCTTCCATTTACAGCTTCATCCTCCACCTTCATCCTCATCTTCACCCCCAATCTTCATCCTCCTCCATCTTCATCCTCATTTTCACCCCAAATCCTCTCCACCTTCACCCCCTTTCATCTTCATCCTTTCTCCCTCCTCATCCTCATCCATCTTCATCCCCCCTTCCCCATCCTCCTTCATCCCATCTTCATCTTCCTCTCTCCCTCCTCATCCTCAGCCCCATCCCTCCTCTTACAGCTTCATCCTCCTTCATCTTCCTCCTCATCTTCACCCCCCCCATCTCCACCCTCTCCTCCATCTTCATCCTCATTTTCATCCCCAATCCTCTCCATCTTCATCCTCCCTCCTCTTCTTCACCCCCCCTTCATCATCATCATCATCATCTCCATCCTTTCCTCCCTCCTCATCCTCACCCATCTTCATCCCCCCTCTCCCCCTTCATCCTCCCGCATCCCCCCGTTTCCATCCCCCCCCCCCTCCGTTACCACGGAAACCGGCGGCCGGGGTCCGGGATTTGGGGGGGGGGGTGTGGGGGGGCCGAGGCCAGACCCCCCCCCTTCCCCCCTCCCCCCCTTCTCCCGCGGGGGATCCCCGGAGCCCGCTCCCCCCCCTCCCCCCGCAGGGATCCCCGGGCTCCGCTCCCTCCCCCCGCCCCCCCCCGCCCCCCCCCCTCGCTATGTTTAGCCGCCGGCGCCTATTTTTAGCGCAGCGGCTTCAGCGCCCAAATTTGGCAGCGGCGGAGCCCGGGGGGGGGGGAGGGGAACAGCGGCGGGGGCGGGGCCAGCGCGGGTTGGGGGGGGGGGAGGGGGGGGGAGCCGCGGAGCGGGGGGAGGGGGGGACAGGGGGGATCCCGGAGGACGGGGGGAGGGGATGGGGGGGGGCGGTAACCCTGGAGCCCCCCCCTTGGGTGCTGGGGGCCCTCCGGCCCCACTGATACGCGGCCCAAAGCTCCCCCCCACCCCCCCCACCCCACCCAGTGATGCTTCTACGCAACCCCCCCATTGAGCCCCGCTGAGTCCCCATTGATCCCATTGAGCTCCTATGGAGCCCCGTTGAGCTCTCATTGACCCCCGTTGAGCCCTGTTGAGCCCCATTGAGTCCCCATTGATCCCACTGAGCCCCCTTGAGTTCCCATGGACCCCCGTTGAGCCCTGCTGAGCGCTGTTGAGCCCCATTGATCTCCCATTGACCCCCACGGACCTCCATTGAGCCCCACGGAGCCCCACTGAGACCTGCTGAGCCCCATTGAGTCCGGATTTATCCCACTGAGCCCCCTTGAGCTCCCATGGACCCCCATTGAGCCCCATGGAGCCCCGTTGAGCCCCGTTGATCTCCCATTGACCCCCGTTGAGCCCCATTGAGTCCCCATTGATCCTGGTGAGCCCTGTTGAGCCCCCATTGATCCCATTGAGCCCCACTGAGCCCCACTGAGCTCCCATTGACCCCCATTGAGCTCCCACTGCCTCCCCCACCCCTCCCATCACCCATCCTCTCATCCCTCCTCCCCTGACTCACCATTGACCTGTTTGTCTGTCCAGCCCCTGTTCCCCTTCCCTCCATTGCCCCCCTCTGCCCCCCCTCGACCTCCTCTGCCCCCCATTGACTCTCCCTCCACCCTTTGAGCCCTTCCAGGCCCACAGCGGCCCCTCCCTTGACCCCCTCCACTCCCCTGTGGACCCTCCATCAACGACTCCATCATTTGACCCTCTCCCTCCCCGCACTGGCTTCTCCATCCCCCACTGACCCTCTCCAGCCTCATGTTGACTTTCTCCATAACCCGTTGATAACCCATCCCCCACTGACCACCTCCATCCCCCCATTGACCATCTTCATCCCCTTTTGACCCTCTTCATCACCCCGTTGACCCTCTTCATCTCCCTGTTGACCCTCCATTGTCCTGTTCACCCTCCCATTGACCATCTCCCTCCCCATTGACCATCTCCCTCCCCCATTGACCATCTCTATCCCCCATTGACCATCTTCATCCCCAATTGACCCTCCATCCCCCTGTTGACCCTCACATTGACCACCTCCATCCCCATTGACTATCTCCATCCCCCCATTGACCATCTCCATCCCCCCATTGACCATCTTCATCCCCTCATTGACCATCTCCATCCCCCATTGACCATCTCCATCCCCTCATTGACCGTCTTCCTCCCCCATTGACCCTCCATCCTCCTGTTGACCACCCATCCCACTGTCAACTCTCTCCATCCCCCTATTGACTCCATCCCTCCCTCCCTCTCTCCCTTGAGCCCTTCCAACCCCCTATTGCCCCCCAGTCTCCCCATTGACCCCTCCACCCATCCCTCCTTCCCCCCATTGATCCCCCATTGGCTCCCCCACCCTTCCATTGACCCCCCCCCATCCAACCCTCCCTTCCCTTCATCCCCCCCTCCCCATTGCCCCCTTTCTACCTTCCCTTGACTCCCCCCCCCCATTCCCCCCTTGCACCGTTCCCGCCGGGGGGGGGGCGTTTCCCGCGCCCCTCCCCTCCCCTCGCCCCGCCCCTCAGCGCGCGCCATCTCCTATTTCGGTGCGAAGCCGCCGCGCGCCGCCCCCCTCCCCCTTCACCCCCCCCGCGCCCCGCGCCGCGCGCGCGTCGACGTCAGCACTGACGCTGCCGCCTCCCCCCCCCCCTCACAACGTTGCGAATGGGAGGAGCGGGGAAAGGACGGGGGGGGGGGGGGGGGGGGTTGGGGGTGACGCGGCGGTGACGTCGTCCCGCGCGGTCCATATAAGGGGCGTTCGCGCGGCGGCGCGGCGCGAGGATGCTCCGCTCCACCAAAGGCGCCTCCAAGGCGCGGCGGGACCAGATCAACGCCGAGATCCGCGCCCTGCGGGACCTCCTGCCGCTGCCCGACGGCGACCGCCCGCGCCTCTCCTACCTGCACGTCATGGCCCTCGCCTGCATCTACACCCGCAAGGGAGCCTGCCTCCGGCCCGGTGCGTGCGCGGGGAGAGCGGAGGGAGGGAGAGGTAGGGCTGGGATGGGCACGGGGAGAGGGGATCGGGATGGGGATGGCACCGGGAAGGGAGCAGGGAATGGGAAGGGATCGGGCACCAGGATGGGATCGGGCACTGGGATGGGATTGGGCACCGGGAAGGGATCGAGCACTGGGATGGGATCGGGCACCGGGAAGGGATCGAGCACTGGGATGGCACCGGGATGGGATCGGGCACTGGGATGGGATCGGGCACTGGGATGGGATCGGGCACCGGGAAGGGATCGAGCACTGGGATGGCACCGGGATGGGATCGGGCACTGGGATGGGATCGGGCACCGGGATGGGATCGGGCACCGGGAAGGGACCGAGCCCTGGGATGGCACCGGGATGGGATCGGGCACCGGGATGGGATTGGGCACTGGGATGGCACCAGGATGGGATCGGGCACCGGGATGGCATCGGGCACTGGGAAGGGACCTGGCACCGGGATGGGATCAGGCATCAGGATAGGAACGGGGTCTGGCACCAGGATGGGAATGAGCACCGGGTTGGAAGCAGACATAGGCACAGAACAGGGAAGCAGCACTGGGATGGGACTGGGCATCGGAACACAGATAGGAGTGGGGAGCAGCACGGGATGGGAGCCGGCATTAGGAAGGGGACTGGAACTGCTCTGGGGAGCGCGGGAGCGGGATGGAGCCGGGTGAGGACCAGGCTGGAGGTGGGCGAGGAACCAGCAGCAGCACCGGGAACAGGGACCCAGCACCGTGCTGGAGCATGGAGACAGCGGAGGGATGGGGACAGGAGCGGGGAGAGGAGCAGGCACCAGCGTGGGGTGGGACGGGGACCGGGGAGCACCGGGGATAACCGGGACCGGAGCAGGCAAGGGGGGTTCAGCACCGCGGATAGCGCCGGGTGCGTTCAGCACCGCGGACAGCGGCAGCGGGCGGGGGCTGCGTTCAGCACCGCGGACAGCGGCGGGGACCGGGGCGGGCGGGATCGAGATCGAGATCGAGATCGGGGCTGGGACCGAGACCGGGAGCAGGGACCGGGACACCGGGACACGGAGAGATACCGGATACCGAGGGACCGAGGATCGGGGCTGGGATCGGGGCACCGGGATAGGGACCGAGACTGGGAACTGGAACCTGGGATCAGGGCTGGGACAGCGACCGGGAGACCAGGACAGGGACCGGGAGACCAGGACAGGGACTGATACTGGGGATCAGGACTGGGACTGGGACTGGGGGACCGGGATAGGGACCGAGATCGGGATCGGGAGCCGGGATCAGCGCGGGGACAGCAGCTAGGGAGCAGGGTGTGATGGAGCTGGGACCAGAACCGGGATCAGGGATTGGAACAGGAGGGATGAGGACAGGGACCAGGACTGGAACTGGGTCAGGAACCGGGACAAGGGCCAGGATTAGGGACCAGAGCTGGGTCTGGAGGCAGGGACAGGGACAGAGGATGGTGACAGGGACGAGTGATGGGGACAGGGAATCCCATGGCTCTACATGGGCAAGGCTGTGGGTGCCACATGGGTGCAGTGGGACCGTGCGGGCAAGGCGCCGGGTGCTGGGTGGGTGCTGACGGGCATCCCCTTTGCAGGACCGACACGGGGGGCACCCATGGAGCTGCTGGGGGGGCCGGAGCTGGCTGACCTGGTGGCATCACTGCCCGGGTTCCTGTTGGCTGTCACCCGCGAGGGGAAGTTGGTTGGTGTCACCGACAACGTCGCACAGCACCTGGGGCACTCAATGGTGAGCACCCGCAGGCAGAACGGGGCTGGGTGTTGGGTGCCTGGTGCTGGGTGCTGGGTGCTTGCTGCTGGGTGCTTGCTGCTGGGTGCTTACGCTCCCACCCCCCCTGCAGGTGGACCTGGTGGCTCAGGGTGACAGCATCTACGACCTGTTGGACCCGGCCGATCACCCCCTGGTGCGACATCAGCTCACCCAGGCTGGGCCCCCCCAGGCAGGTGGGTGGGGCCTCCGAGGGGGGAGGAGCTTGGGGGAGGGGCCTGAAGGGGTGTGGGCACAGGGAGGGAGGGGTGGAAGGATGGAGGGAGGGAAGAAGGGAAGAAGGGTGAAAGAAGAGAGGAAGGGATGGGAGGGTGGAAGGGCAGGGGGACAGAGAGATGGACGGAAGGATGAAGAAATGGAGGGAGGAAGGAAGGAATGGAGAATGGATGAAGAGAGGGAAGGATGGAAGAGAAGAGAGAAGGATGGATGGAGGGAGGGAGGGATGATGAATGGGTGATGGAGGGATGGATGGAGGGAGGGATGGACAGTGGGATGTATGATGGAGGGTTGGATGGAGGGATGATGGATGATGGAGGGATGGATGGATGGAGGGAGGGATGGATGCATGGATGATGGAGGGATGGGTGCTGGATGATGGATGGAGGGATGGATGGAGGGATGATGGGTGCTGGATGATGAATGGATGAGGGATGGATGAGTAATGAACAGCAGGGTGGAGGATGCATGGAGGGACATGCAGAGCTCCAGAGGTCTAACCCAGGACCCCTTCCCCTAGAGCGCCTCTTCCGCTGCCGCTTCACCACCTCGCGGGCCTCGCGCCGCCCCAGCGCCGGGCGGAAGCTGGTGCTGCTGCGGGGCCGCTTCCAGGCCCCCCCCGGCCCCCCTGGCTCCTCCCCGGGGCTCTTTGTCGCCTTCTGCGCCCCCCTGGACCCCCCGCCCTGGCCCTGCCCCGATTGCCTCCTGCTGCCGGCGTTCCAGAGCCGCCATGCGCGCGACCTCGCGTTGCTCGATGTCTCCGACAGGTCAGGACCTGACCCCCAAAGGGGAATCCGGGTGTCCAGGGAGGGTCCCAACCATGGCGGGCACTGGACCCAGGCCTCTTGTCCCACAGTGTCCTGATCCACCTGGGCTACGGGCGTGGGGAGCTCCTGGGTCGCTCCTGGTACCGGCTCCTGCACCCCGAGGACCTCGGCCATGTTGCGCGCCAGCACCTCCGCCTGGGTAAGTGTCCCCTTGGTGTCCCTTGGGCTCACCCTGTCCCCCCCCTTTAAGCTGTTCCTTGGGTTTCTGGGGTCTTCCTGTCCAGTGGGTGTCCCCAAGGGTGTCACCCATCACCCTGGGTGTCCCCTGGGTCCCAATGTCCCCAAGGGTGTCACCCATCACCCTGGGTGTCCCCTGGGTCCCAATGTCCCCAAGGGTGTCACCCATCATCTTGGGTGTCCCCTGAGTCCCCTGCTGCCACTTTGCCCCCCATCATGTCCTCGGTGTCTCCCACATCCCCTCGGGCCACCTTGCCTCCTCTCCGGGTGTCCTCCATGTCCCTGTTGTCCCCTGTCCCCATTGACATCCCCATGTCCCCAACCCCCTGAATCCACCTCATTGATGTCCCCAACCCCGTCCCCGTGTCCCCGCTGATGTCCCTGTGCGTGTCCCCACAGCAGGAGCAGGGCCAGAGGCACGGGGGGAGCTGGTGACACGGCTGCAGCGCAAGGATGGCCTGGGCTGGACGTGGGTCTATGCCCGGCTGCGCCCCGAGGGCCCGGCTCTGCTCGCCCACAACTTCATCATCAGGTGAGTGGCCCCAGCTCCAGGGGTCCCATCACCCCCCACCCCACAGAGCACCCATGGGGCTGGGCACCTTCCATTCCCCTGGGGGCCCCAGGCTCACCACAGACCCCCCCTGTGTCTCCCACAGTGAGGCTGAAGCCTGGTGCCTGCGGCAGCAGTTGGCAGCTGAGGCCCCCCCGGACCCTCCTGAGCCCTTTGGCCCCAGCCTTGAGTTCCCTGGGGCCAGCATTGGAGCTGGTGGGGACCTTGGTGTCGGCGCTGGCCCCGCTGTTGGCCTCGGTGTTGGTGCTGGTGTTGGATCCGGTGTTGACCTCGGTGTTGGAGCTGGGCTTGGAGACGACGTTGGAGTTAACGTTGGCGTCAGCCTCGGCCTTGGCGTCAATGTTGGATGTGGCCTTGGAGCTGATGTTGGACATGGTCTTGGAGCTGGCTTGGGAGCCAACGTTGACCCTGGTCTTGGAGCTGGTGTTGGACCTGGTCTCGATGCCAACATGGGACCTGGTCTTGGAGCCGCCATTGGACATGGTCTTGGAGGCAACGTTGGAGCCAACATTGACCCCGGTCTTGGAGCTGGTGTCGGAGTGAACGTTGGACACGGCCTCAGAGACAGCATTGGACAAGCTCTTGGCTCTGATATCGGTGCTGGAGTTGGCATCGGCGTCGGAGCCGGCATCAGAGTCGACGTTGGCCTCGGCGTGGCAGCCGGCCCCAGCCCCGATGTTGGCTCCAACCTTGGGGCAGATATTGGAGCTGCTCTCGGAGCTGGAGCCGGAGATGATGTTGGAGCTGGTCTCCAAGCCAATGGTGGAGCTGGCGTTGGCTCCAGTCTCGGAGCCGGTGTTGCGCTCAGTGTCGGGGCCAACATCGGGCCTGGCCTTGGTGGTGGTGTCAGAGCCAGCGTTGGGCTTGGCATTGGGGCTCTTGGCCCTGCTCTTCCATCTGATGTCGGTGCTGGTGTTGGACTCACCGTCGGAGCCAGCGTTGGAACCAATGTAGGTGGTGGAGTCAGCGCTGGAGTTGGACTTGGTCTTGGAGCCAATATTGGAGCCAACGCTGGCTCCAGTCTTGGATCCACTGTTGGACTTGGACTTGGAGCTGCTCTAGGAGCCAGTGTTGGCTCCACTCTTCCATCTGGTGTGGGACCTGGCGTTGGCCTTGCCGTTGGAGCTGCTGTTGGAGCCAATGTTAGCTCTGGTCTTGGATCCAGTGTTGGACTTGCTGTTGGAGCCGGTGTTGGAGCCAATGTCGGTGCTGCTCTTGGATCCGATATTGACATTGGCATTGGACTTGGTGTTGGAGCCAACGTTGGCACTGCTCTTGCATCGGATGTTGGATCTGGTGTTGGACTTGGCATTGGAGCTGCTGTTGGAGCCAACATCGGTGCCGGCGTTGGCTCCACTCTTGGATCTGGCGTTGGACTTGGCCTTGGAGCCAATGTTGGTTCCAGCATCGGCTCCGCTCCTGGATCTGATGTTGGTGCCAGTGTTGGACTCACAGTTGGAGCTGGCGTTGGAGCCACCGGTGGCTCCAGTCTTGGATCTGCCCTTGGATTTGCCGTTGGAGCTGCACTGGGAGCCAACGTCTGCTCCGGGCTTGGACCCGACGTTGGTGCCAGTGTTGGACTCAGCCTTGGAGCCAACATTGGAGCCAACATTGACTCTGCTCTTGGAACCAGCATTGACACTGGCATTGGACTCAGTGCTGGAGCCAGTATTGGACCTGCCATTGGATCCAGTGTCGGACTTGGTGCTGGAGCTGCCATAGGAGCCAACGCTGGCTCCGCTCGTGGATCCTCCATCGGCCTTGGCCTTGGGGCCAGCGTTGACCCCGCTCTTGGACCTGGCATTGGCCTCGGAGCCGCCATTGGAGCCAACATCGGCACCGGCCTCGGCCTTGGCCCCAGCCTGGCCGTGGGCGCCCGCCTTGCACCAGGCCTAGGGGTCCCCGAGACCCCGGGGGGGGGCACCGAGACCTGGACCCCCCCCTACACCCCCCGGCAAGCGCCACCCTTCGCCTTCGGCCCCCCGGAGCCACCCGAGGCTGCCCCCGAGAAGCTGCCGCCGAGTCCTGAGAGCCCCGGGGGGGGCCCGGGGGGGGACCCCGGCTCCCTCCTCACCCCCGAGACGTCCCCCCCACCACCGCCCCCCCCGGCCGCCCCCCCCGGCCCCGTCCTGCGCCGCCTGCTCCAGGGCCTGGCCGCTGCCGCTGGCGTCAGCCGTGGGGGGACCCGGCACCCAGGGGGCCCCCCCGGCCCCCGACCCCCCCCACCCCGGTCGCCCCGCGACCCCTTCGCTGAGTTGTATCAACTCCCCCAGAGCCGGCTCCAGGACGCCTTCCGCCAAGGTAAGGGGGGGGTCAGGATGGGGGGGCACCTATGGGGGGGGGGGGGGGCAGCCTGGAGCTCATTTTCGGGGAGGCCCCAGTGGGGTTTGGGGGGTGAAGATGGGGTCCGAGGTGCATGGCCCAGAGCGGTGGGGAGGGTGGCGGGGATGCTCCAGGGTCCCTTGGGGAGGTTGAGGGGGTGATGACCCCTAAAGTTGAGTCCCTCAATGGGGGGGGGGGGTGTGCATGAGCCCAGACCCTGGGGTCCATTTGGGGGGGGGGGCTCAATGCCTGGGTCCATTGGCAGGGTCCAGGGGGTTATGGGGGTACAGGGAGCTATGGGGGGGTCTCTGACATCCTGTCCCCCCCCCCCACAGCCGGAAGCCAGCGCGCCCCGTCGTTCTGAACTAAGTCTGTGACGCGACTTGCCCCCAGTATGGCATATTGTCATTGTCACCCCGGCCCGGAGCCACCGTCCCCCCGGCCCCGGCCGCCCCCCCGCCCCCCGCCGCCCCCCCCCGGGGCCTTTCGTGCTAATTTAACTCGTAACGAGTCTCTAAGGTAATTGGGGGGGGGCTGGTGGCCCCCCCCCCCCCCCCCAGCCTGGACGCCTGGGTCCCATGTCCCCATGTCCCTGTCCCCAGCCCCACTGCGGGACCGGTCCCCAAATCTTGTCAGTGGGTGGCTTGGACCCACCTGTAGGAGCCTGTGCCCCCCCCCATCCCCAATGTCCCTGTCCCTTGTCACCCACCCCGTCCCTGTCCTTGTCATCCCCCCGTCCCCACCTTGGGGTCTGCGTTTTTGGCAGAGTACCCCCAAAAGTGTGTGCTCCCCCCCCCCCCATGGGTGTCATCCCCAATGTCCCCAAGCCAAGGGACCGAGGCACGATGTGGCTTGATGTCCCCAATGTCCCCGACCCGAGTGATGGAGACCTCGTGGCTCAGTGTCCCGATGTCCCCAACGTTCCCAACTCAAGGGGCTGAGGCACAATGTGGCTCAATGTCCCCAGTGTCCCCAACCCAAGGCATGGAGACACACCATGACCCAGTGTCCCCAATGTCCCCAACCTGGGGGACGTGGGCACCCGCTGCCCCAAGCCATTGGGCTGGGAGAGGTCATGGCTCGATGTTCCCCATGTCCCAAAGTCCCCCAAGGGACTGTGAGATGTCCCCAGTTTGAGGGACTGAGACACATCGTGGCTCAGTGTCCCCAATGGCCCCCACATCCCCAGTGCCCCTGACATCCCCAGTGTCCCCACTGTCCCCCACATCCTCGATGTCCCCAACGTCCCCCACCCAAGACACCGAGATACGTCGCAGCGCGATGTCACCGAGCCCGAGGGACTGAGACTCGTCACAACTCGACGTCCCCAACGTCCCTGAGGGACACGGGCACCTCGTCACCGCTGTGACCCAAGTGTCCCCCAAGTGTCCCCAAAGGATGCGGACACCACCAAAAGGACTGAGACTGTCGCACCTCTTCGTCGCCTCAAGCTGGAGGGACCGAGACACCTTGTGGCTTGATGTCCCCAGTGTCCCCAAGGGACGTGGGACCTTGTTGTCACCCTGGAGCAATGGACTGAGACACATCGTGGTCTGATGTCCCCAATGTCCCCAATGTCCCCAACCCCAAGGACTGAGATCTGTCGTAGCCCAATTGTCCCCCACGTCTCCGATGTCCCCGAAGGATGTGGGGCATTGTCATCACCTTGACTCAAGGGACTGAGACCCCGATGTCCCCAACGTCCCCACCGCGAGGGACTGGCTCCCATTGTCCCCCCAACATCCCCTGGAGGCCCCGTGGCCCTGACACCCCCTTGGAAATAAAGCGGCCTCCGTGTCCCTGTGCCCCGTGGCAGCTTCTTTATAGGGACAAAGGCGCTTGGGGGCGACGCAGGGATTTGGGGGGGACCCAGGGATTTGGGGGGGACGCAGGGATTTGGGGGGGGGGGATCCATGGATTTGGGAGGTCCCAGGGGCTTGGGGGGGGGACACCCAGGGGTGTGGGAGGGACCCAGACATTGGGGGGGACCCCTGTGCTTGGGGGTACCCCGTGATGTGGGGGGGGGGGGGGTTCGGGGGTCGGGACGGTCCCAGCGCTGCGGAGCCACGGCGAGACCCGGGCAGCGCACAGGCCACGCCCCCATCCGTGTTAACCCCGCCCATCTGTCGCCTTGACCACGCCCTCCCCTCCGGCACGTTCAGGCTCCGCCCCGCGCATGCGCGGTTCCTGCGGCGACGCGGTGCGGTGAGGTCGCGGGTTCCGGTTCCCCTCGGTCCCATCCCGGTCCTTTCCTTGCGATGGTCTCGGGATAACCCCGTACTGGTCCCAGTAACCCCTTACCGGTCCCAGCACCCCCGTACTGGTCCCGGTAACCCCTTACGGGTCCCAGCACCCCCGTACTGGTCCCCGTAACCCCTTACCGGTCCCAGTAACCCCTTACCGGTCCCGGCACCCCCGTACTGGTCCCAGTAACCCCTTACCGGTCCCATCACCCCCGTACTGGTCCCAGTAACCCCTTACAGGTCCCGGCACCCCCGTACTGGTCCCAGTAACCCCTTACTGGTCCTAGCACTCCCATACTGGTCCCAGTGATCCCATATTGGTCCTATCACCCCCATACTGGTCCCAGTAACCCCGTACTGGTTCCAGTGATCCCATACTGGTCCCAGTAACCCCCGTACTGGTCCTGGCACCCCCATACTGGTCCCAGTAACCCCCGTACTGGTCCTAGCACCCCTGTACTGGTCCCAGTGATCCCATACTGGTCCTAGCACCCCCATACTGGTCCCAGTGATCATATACTGGTCCCAGTAACCCCTTAATGGTCCTAGCACCCCCATACTGGTCCCAGTGATCCCATATTGGTCCTATCACCCCCATACTGGTCCCAGTAACCCCGTACTGGTTCCAGTGATCCCATACTGGTCCCAGTAACCCCCGTACTGGTCCCGGCACCCCCATACTGGTCCCAGTGATCCCATAGTGCTCCCAGCATGCCGTACTGGTCCATGCTCCGCACTGATCCCGGCGCCCCCCCCCCGGACTGGTCCCATTGACCTCGTCCAGACCCCAGTGCCCCCCAGCAGCGCACCAGTAACGCCCAGCATCCCCCAGTCCCAGTGCCCCCCCCTCCCCCCCAGTCCCTTCCCAGTATCCCCAGTTTGGCGGGGGGGGGGGCCGCACGCTATGGGTCGAGGGCGGCTCTTGGGGGGCTGCGCTTGGCTGCTGGGGGGGCTGGCGCTGCTGCAGACCCTTTACCTGCGAGCGCTGCCCCCCCCCGCCCCCCCCCGTCGGCCCCCCCATAAACCGCTGCCCCCCCCCAGGGGGGTTCTGGATGCTTCCGGAACCTTCCGGTTGTATCGGGACGTGTTGGGGGCCCCCCCCCCACATTGGGCTCCCCCCCCCGACTTGGTCCTGGCCACGCACGGGACCCCCGGGCGGGCGGCGGCGGCGCTGGGGGGGGCGCTGGAAGGGGGCATTTGGGGGGGACCCCTCTCGGTCGCGGTCTTTGGGGTCCCCCGGGCTGGGCTGGGGCAGCTCCTGCGGGCAATGGGGGGGCCGTGCCGGGGGCTCCGGGGGCGCCTGCGGCTCCACGTGGTGCTGGGGGCGGCCGAGCCCCCCCCCATCGTGACCCCCCCTTTCCCCCGAGCCCCCGGGGGGTGCAGGGGGGCTCTGGAGCGCGTGGCGGCCGCGGACCCCCCCAGTTACACTTTGGGGGTGCCGTACCCCGGGAACCTGCTGCGGAACCTGGCTTGGGCTGGGGCGGCCACGGGGGGGGGCTATGGGGGGGGAAATGGGGGTCCCGCCCCCCCCGGCCCTATGGGGAGCCGCTTTGTGCTGCTGCTGGATGCGGATGTGGTACCCAGCCGGGGGCTGCGGGAGGGGTTCCTGAGGGCGCTGAGAGGGGAGGGACCCCCATTGTGGGGAGATGGGGGGGGCTCCCCATTATTGCAGGCATCTGATGGCCTCAAAGGGGTCCCCAATGCCCTGGACCCCCCCCATGGTTTTGGGGTCCCCAGTGAGCATCAGGGGCTTAACGCCCTCGGGGTCCCCAATAGGGTGGGGAGCCCCAAGGATGTCCTGGGGGTCCCTAGTGTCTTGGAGGTCCCCAATGTCCCAAGGGACCCCAACATCCTAAAGGACCCCAATGTCCCAAAGGACCCCAATGTCCTAAGGGCCCCCAATGCCTTGGAGGTCCCCAGCATCCTAAAGGACCCCAATGTCCCAGAGGACCCCAGCATCCTAAGGGACCCCAATGTCCTAAAGCACCCCAATGCCTTTGAGGTCCCAAGCATCCTAAAGGACCCCAATGGCCCAAAGGACCCCAATGTCCCAGAGGACCCCAAAGCCTTGGAGGTCCCCAGCATCCTAAAGGACCCCAATGGCCCAAAGGACCCCAACATCCTAAAGGACCCCAACGTCCCAGAGGACCCCAAAGCCTTGGAGGTCCCCAGCATCCTAAGGGACCCCGATATCCCGGAGGACCCCAATGCCCCAGGTCCAACGCAGCCGCCCTGGACCCACGTGGTGTTCGTGCTCCCAGCCTTTGAGGTGCGTTTGGGGACCCCGGTGCCAGGGACGAAGGCAGAGCTGCGGCGGCTGTGGGGCACGGGGGATGCTCGGCCCTTCTATGGGGCGCTGTGCCCCCGGTGCCAGGCACCCACGGACTATGGGCGCTGGTGGGCGCTGCCGCCCGCCCCACACCTGCGAGTGGCCTATGAAGCCCCATGGCGTGACCCCTGGGAACCCTTTTATGTGGGGCCGGCCCACAGCGTCCCCCCCTTCGATGAGCGCTTCCTGCAGTACGGCTTCAACCGCATCAGTCAGGTGATGGAGGGTGCTTGGGGGGCCCTGGGGTGCCCATGGGGGCTGTGGGTGCTGTAGGGTGGCCATGGGGACCATAGGTGACCATGGGGACTGTGGGTGCTGTGGGGTGGCCGTGGGGGCTATGGGTGCTGTGGGGTGGCCATGGGGACTGTGGGTGCTGTGGGGTGGCCATGGGGACCATAGGGTGGTCATGGGGACCATAGGGCGGCCATGGGGACTGTGGGTGCTGTGGGGTGGCCGTGGGGGCTATGGGTGCTGTGGGGTGGTCATGGGGACCATAGGGTGGCCATGGGGGCTGTGGGTGGTGTGGTGTCACCATGGGGACCATAGGCTGGCCATGTGTGCTGTGGGGTGGCTATGGGGACTGTAGGGTGACCATGGGGGCTGTGGGTGCTGTGGGGTGGCTATGGGGACCATAGGGTGGCCATGGGGGGCTGTGGATGCTGTGGGGTGGTCAGGGGGCTATGGGTGCTCTTAGGGGGACTGTGGGTGCTATAAGGCATCAATGGGTGGTGGGAGGTCTGTGGGTGTTATAGAGGATCTATGGGTGCTGTGGGGTCTCTGGGTGGTGTGTGTGGGGGCTGGGTTGTCTATGGGGGATGTGGGTGCTGTGGGGTGGCCATGGGGGCTGTGGGTGCTGTGGGGTGGTCAAAGGGCTATGGGTGCTCTTAGGGGGACAGTGGGTGCTATAAGGCATCAGTGGGTCCTTGGAGGTCTGTGGGTGCTATAGAGGATCTACGGGTGCTATGGGGTCTCTGGATGTTGTGGTGGGTCTCTGGGTGCTGTAGAAGATGTATGGCTGCTATAGAGGGTCTGTGGGGGTCTCTGGGTGCTATTGGGGTCTATAGGTGCTATAGAGGAGCTATGGCTGCTATAGGGGTCTGTGGGTGCTATAGAGGGCCTGTGGGTGCTATAGGGGAGCTATGGCTGCTATAGGGGTCTCTGGGTGCTACGGGGGTCTATGGGTGCTATAGAGGGTCTGTGGGTGCTGTCAGGGAGCTATGGGTGCTATAGGGGTCTTTGGGTGCTATAGAGATGTGTGGGTGCTATAGGGGTGCTCTGGGTGCTATAGGGGTCTGTGGGTTCTATAGAGTGTCTGTGGGTGCTATAGGGGTCTCTGGGTGCTGTTGGGGTCTATGGGTGCTATAGAGAGCTGTGGCCGCTATAGGGGTCTATGGGTGCTATAGAAGGTCTCTGGGTGCTATAGGGGAGCTATGGGTGCTGTAGGGGTCTCTGGGTGCTACGGGGCTCTATGGGTGCTATAGAAAGTCTGTGGGTGCTATAGGGGAGCTATGAGGTCTATGGGTGCTATAGGGGAGCTATGGGTGCTATGGTGGTCTATGGGTGCTATGGGGGTCTGTGGGTGCTATGGGGGTCTGTGGGTGCTATAGGGGAGCTATGGGTGCTATGGGGGTCTGTGGGTGCTATAGGGGAGGTATGGGTGCTATAGGGAGCTATGGGTGCTATAGGGGAGCTGTGGGTGCTATGGTGGTCTATGGGTGCTATGGGGGTCTGTAGGTGCTGTAGGGGAGCTATGGGTGCTGTAGGGGTCTCTGGGTGCTACGGGGCTCTGTGGGTGCTATAGAAAGTCTGTGGGTGCTATAGGGGAGCTATGGGTGCTATGGTGGTCTATGGGTGCTATGGGGGTCTGTGGGTGCTATAGGGGAGCTGTGGGTGCTATGGGGGTCTGTGGGTGCTATAGGGGAGCTGGGGGTGCTATGGGGGTCTGTGGGTGCTATAGGGGAGCTGTGGGTGCTATGGGGGTCTGTGGGTGCTATAGGGGAGGTATGGGTGCTATAGGGAGCTATGGGTACTATAGGGCATCTATGGGTGCTATGGTGGTCTATGGGTGCTGTAGGGGAGCTATGGGTGCTGTAGGGGTCTATGGGTGCTATAGGGGAGCTATGGGTGCTATGGTGGTCTGGGTGCTGTAGGGGTCTATGGGTGCTATGGTGGTCTCTGGGTGCTGTAGGGGTCTCTGGGTGCTATAGGGGAGCTATGGGTGCTATAGGGGAGCTATGGGTGCTGTGGTGGTCTCTGGGTGCTGTAGGGGTCTCCGGGGCTCCCATGCCCTCTCTCCCCCCAGGCGTGTGAGCTGCACGTGGCCGGGTTCCGTTTCGCGGTGCTGGACGGGGCCTTCGTGGTTCACAGCGGCTTCAAGGAGGCCGCGGGGTTCCACGGGGGCCGCGGCGCGGAGCAGCACCGGAACCGCCTCCTCTTCCGCCGCTTCCGCACCGACCTGCGCCAGCGCTACCCGGGCTCCGCGCGGCGCTGCTGAGCCCGCACCGGCACCCGCGGGGACGTAGGGCACGGACGTGGATGTGGGTGCTCCACGTGGGACATGGACATGGATGTGGGTGCTCCACATGGGACATGGATGTGGGTGCTCCACGTGGGACATGGACGTGGGTGCTCCACGTGGGACATGGACATGGATGTGGGTGCTCCACGTGGGACGTGGAACATGGATGTGGGTGCTCCCCATGGGACATGGATGTGGGTGCTCCACGTGGGACATGGATGTGGGTGCTCCATGTGGGACATGGACATGGATGTGGGTGCTCCACGTGGAGCATGAACATGGATGTGGGTGCTCCACGTGGGACGTGGAACATGGATGTGGGTGCTCCCCATGGGACATGGACATGGATGTGGGTGCTCCACGTGGAGCATGGACATGGATGTGGGTGCTCCACGTGGGACATGGACGTGGATGTGGGTGCTCCACGTGGGACATGGACATGGATGTGGGTGCTCCACATGGGACGTGGACATGGATGTGGGTGTGGGTGCTCCATGTGGGACATGGACATGGATGTGGGTGTGGGTGCTCCACATGGGACATGGAACGTAGGACATGGACGTGGATGTGGGCTCTCCACATGGGACATGGATGTCGACATGGACATGGATGTGGGTGCTCCACATGGGACATGGACATGGATGTGGGTGCTCCCCATGGGACATGGATGTGGGTGCTCCACATGGGATGTGGACATGGACATGGATGTGGGTGCTCCACATGGGACGTGGAACATGGATGTGGGTGCTCCACATGGGACATGGACATGGATGTGGGTGCTCCCCATGGGACATGGATGTGGGTGCTCCACATGGGATGTGGACATGGACATGGATGTGGGTGCTCCACATGGGACATGAGACATGGATGTGGGTGCTCCACATGGGACATGGACATGGACATGGATATGGATGTGGTTGCTCCATGTGGGACATGGACATGGATGTGGGTGCTCCACACGGAACAAGGAACATGGATGTGGGTGTGGGTGCTCCACATGGAACATGGACATGGATGTGGAACATGGACATGGAACATGGGTGCTCCACATGGGTCATGGAATATGGATGCTGCACATGGGACATGGACATGGAACTTAGGACATGGACATGGAACTTAGGACATGGACATGGATGTGGGTGCTGCACATGGAACATGGGATTTGGGACATGGACATGGATGTGGGTGCTGCACATGGGACATGGAATATGGGACACAGAACATGGATGCTGCGCATGGGACATTGAACATAGGACATGGGATGTGGGATGTGGACATGAATGTGGGTGCTCCACATGGGACATGGGATGTGGAACATGGGTGCTCCACATGGGACATGGGAAGTGAAACATGGGTGCTCCACATGGGACATGGGAAGTGGAACATGGGTGCTCCACATGGGACATGGGAAGTGGAACATGGGTGCTCCACATGGGACATGGGAAGTGGAACATGGGTGCTCCACATGGGACATGGCACTCCAGACAGGACACGGAGCACGGAGCACGAACCGTGGGTGCTCCATATGGGATGTGGGTGCTCTCCATTGGCCATGTGCTGCCTGCCCTCAATAAAGGCAATCACTGGCTCTCAATGACCCTGTGCAAGTGATGCCATGTTGGTGGGGGCTCTATGTGGGGTCTGTCCATGGAGATGTGGGGGGTTTGCGTGGACACTGGGGGGGAGATGTGGAGCCATGGAACCAACTGGGGCGGGGGGGGAATGGGCTTCAGGCTCCTCCAGCCCAACCCAACCCTTACCGAGCCCTGCCAATGCCCCCCCATGGCACTGAGGGGGTGTGAGCACCCCCAGGGATGCTGGCTGCAACCCTGCCCTGGGGAGCCTGGGCCAATGGGGCAGGAATCGTTCCTCAGCTCCATCTAAACCTGCCCTGGTGCTGCTTGAGGCCGTTTCCTCTTGTCCCATCCCTTGGGAGCAGAGCCCAGCCCCATCCTGGCCCCATCCTCCTGGCAAGCAGTTGCAGGGAGCGATAGAATGCATCAGATTGAATAGAATAGAATAGAATAGAATAGAATAGAATAGAATAGAATAGAATAGAACTGAACTTGTGGCATATATGGTGATTCAATTTGCCAAAAGAGAATAGAAAAGAATCATTCAATTAAAATATATTATCTAGAAGGTGATCTGATATGTCTTATTAGAATAGACTAGATAGATTGTCTAATAATATGGGAGAATACAATGTAATACATCTTATTACAGGAGAATCTGATACATAATAATATAAAAGAATATAATTTAAGACAATATTATAGCTTATGTCAATAATAGAATAGACTAGAATGTAATATATCTGAATAGAATAGACAATATGCTATAATATAATGCAATTCAATGCATCTTCTTAGAGTAGAATAGGGTAAAATAGAATATGTACACCATCATATAATAATATGTTAGGATATCGTGTAATATGTCTTATTACATTATAATATAATATAATAAATATATATTGTTACGTAAGAATAGAATACAACATAACCGGGAATTACGTGCCCGACAAGGAGCCAGAGATGAGAACTACAGCTCCCAGCATGCACCGGGGCAACATGGCCGACAGGGAGCCATCAAGAACTACAGCTCCCAGCATGCACCGGGGCAACATGGCCGACAGGGATCCATCAAGAACTACGACTCCCAGCATGCACCGGGGCAACATGGCCGACGGATGTCTGTGCTGAACTATAACTCCCAGCGTGCACTGCGGCCAACGTGGCGACTACAACAGGCAACTTCCGGCATGCCCGCTGTGTGAAACAGCGCCCCCTTGTGCTTGGAGGTGTCCCATAGGGATGGGAGGCGGCTGGCAGAGAACAGCGCCCCCTTCGGGACTGGAGGAGCGCTAACCCCAGCCCGCGTGTGGGGGGGTGGAAGTGGAATGCCCCATAGCGAGGGGCACCCTCCCCCCAAATTATCCACTAAATAACCCTTAACCCCCCCCAAAAAAAACCAAAGACAACGGCCAAATCCCGGTTAATAAACGTTTTATTTGCATTTTACAAGATCATTCTTCTGACGCCGCGATTATTTTGCTGTTAAAGTGCTAAAAAAAGGGGCTTTTGCTTTGGTTTTTTGTTTGGTTTTTTTTTTTTTTTGTTTGTTTATTGCTGCATTTTTCGGTTTTGACCCTCAAACCAGAACTGTTCAACGAGATTTGGGGGGTTTTGGTTCTTTTTCTGTCTCTTTTCATCAAAGAAAGGCACAAATGCGTTAAAGGCAACGAAGGACGAGTGAAAATCTCATAAACCAACCCAAAACCAGCCCTTGGGCATGGAGGGGGGGGTGAAGAGTCAAAGCCTTTGGAGTTGTTTTCCTGCACCACCGGGTCACAGCTTGTCCTTTTCCCTCCCCGTTATCCGATATCCTGGTGCATCCCAACCATGGGAATCACGCGGCTCGGCCCCGCGGCTCCGTTCCAGGGTGCCTTTTCTTAAAGCTCCATTTCTTCAGCCCCCACCGAGCAAGAAAAAGAACCAAAAAAAAAACCCAAAATCCCATTTCCATGACCCAAAACACTGAAAATATCCGGTCAAACAAGGGGGAGGGGAGGAATAAGAGTTATATCAAAAATAGCCGGCACAGCTCTCAGCATTCCATGCACAAGCCGACATTCCGAGTGCGGGCGAAGCTCCCGCTTGGCTCTTTGTAGGGTTGGGATATGGGGTTACAGAAGGATGGGGAGCCCGAGCTACAAAACGTATCTACAGACCCATATGGGGCTCCCTATATACAACGGCCCCTACGTGCAGCCCGGCTGCTCCTTCCTCTTGGCCACCGTCAGCTCCACGCCGGGCACGCGGAAGCCACCCTTGGTCGCGCTGTCGGTGCTGGAGGACGATGACAACCGCGACTTCTTGGCGACGCCGGGCGCCTTGGGCAGCTCCTCGTCGCTGCCGGTCACCTCATAGGAGCCTTTGGTTTTGGAGCCGATGCCCCCGAACGTCCCGAATTTCATCCTGCCCGCTTTGCCTTTGTCACCGGCGTCCAGCTCCAGCGCTCCCAATGGCGGGGAATGGGCCGAGCGCTCGTCGCTGAATGACGACGATCGGTGCCGCGTCTTCCTGCTCTTGAACAAGGAGAACTTGGCCTTGGCCGACGGCGCCTCGGCCCCATCCAGCTCCCCTTCTGCTGAGCCCAAACTGCCCTTGGAGCTCTTCAGGTCCCCTCTGGACCCTGATGCCTCTGGGGAGCCCAGGGCCCCGCTGCTCTTCCCTTTCTGCTTGGAGAAGTTGAACTTGGGCATCTTGAGCTTGGATTTCTTCAGGCGGACGTCAGCATCTTCGAGCTCCAGCTCCGCGGCGCCGGCCTGGATGTGGGCATCGGGGAACTCCACATCCACCCCCATCTCCCTGCCCTTCACCTCCGGGTCAGAAAACACAAACTTGGGCATCCGCAGCTTGGGGAAGGAAACTTTGCCAACACTGGGCTCTGGGGCACCCGCGCTGACCCCGGGACCTCCCTTTGAGCCGCTGATGTGGAGCTTTGGCCCTTTCACGTTGACGTTCAACCCAGACCCCGATCCTTTCAGGGCAGACGCATCCATGGCCGGAGCATCCACGTGGATGCTAGCACTGGGCTCCTTGATACCCACATGAGGTGCTTCCACGCTGACTTTTGGAGCTCTGATCTCACCGGTGACATCCAGGTTTGGTCCTTTCAGCTTCAGGTCAGCATCTGGCAGGGAAACGTGAGGCCCTTTCACTTCCACGTTGGGTCCTTCCAGCCCAACGCCGGAGCCCTTCAGGCCTCCTTTCACCTGGGGACCTTCAAGGTTGATGCCAACATCAGCTCCATCCACACCGGGGCTGGAAAGCCCAAACTGGGGGAGCTTGAGGGATGGGAGCTTGATGGTGCCACCCAGGATCTCGAAGCCGGCGTCAGACGCGTCCACCGATGCTTTGGGGCATTGGACGTCCAAGTCTCCTTTCAACTTTGGTCCTTTCAGGTTCACATCCAGATCCGGGGCTGAAACATCCACTGAGGGCCCTCTGATATCGATGCCTGCGGTGCCCAGGTTGAGATTTGCCCCTGGGGCTTTTGCCTCCATGGAGCACTCGATGCCTCCCTTCAGGTCCGGTCCCTCCATCGTTGGGGACTTGAACTTGGGCAGCTTCAGTTTCCCTCCCAAGCCTCCCAGGTCAATTCCCGGCGCATCCAGGCTGACCTTGGGCCCTTCCAGGGAACTCGAAGCGTCCACATCTCCCTTTAGCTTTGGTCCTTTCAGGTTTGCATCAAACTCAGGGCCGGAGATTTGGGGCCCTTGGAGCTTCACATCCACCCCTCGGAGGCTGGCATCAGCCGAAGGGAGGCTCACGCTTCCTTCCATTGCTGGGACAGACAGATCCAGGTTCACATCCGGCATTCCCAGATCAAGACCCATTTTCCCCACCTTGGGCAACTTCAGTTTCCCTTCGGGACCTTCCAGTTCTGCTCCAGGAACATTAACCTCACCCTTTGGTCCTTTCACATTGAAGTCGACATCTGGCACCGACACAGAGGGAACCGCAACGTCAATGGAGGCTCCTTCCATTTTCAACCCCCCCGCTCCCATCTGCCCACTGGGAAGGTTGAACTTGGGCTTCTTCACGCTCACATCAGGAGCTTCAAGGTCCACATTGAGACTTGGACCTTTCAGGTCCCCTTTGAACGCTGGCACAGCCACGTCCAGCTCCGGCCCTTTGAGCTCCCCCTCAATCTTGGGGGCTGCCATGGAAGCGTCTCCTCGGAACCGATGAGATTTCAGGTCAAACTCCACATCGGGGAAGGAGATTTTCCCAAACATCGGCTTCTTCCCTTTGGGGGACTTCACCGTAACCTCCCCTTTGGCTGCTGCATCCAGACCAGATGCGGTCACATCCAGGTCGAGGTCTCCCCCGGCCGCGTTGACGTCGAACCCCCCCTTCTTGCCTTTGACTTTAGGGCCGCTCATGTGAAGTTTGGGCATCTTGAACTTGCTCTTCTTGCCCTTGCCTGCGAGGTTGATGTCCGGTGCCTCCACGTTCAGCTCTGCCTCGGGTAGATCCACATCGGCCCCTGGGCCCTTGACTTCTGCCTTTGGGCTCTTCATCCCGAACCCAAACTTTGACTTCTTCAACTTGGGGACCTTCACATTTGCCTCCAGGCCTTCAATGCTCAGGTCAGGACACTCAACATCAACCTCAGGGCCTTTGATCCCAAGCTCTGGACCTTTGATGTCAACGTCGGGACCTTTCAGGTTCCCTTCGAGCTTTGGGGTGGAGATGTCGAAGCCTCCCTTGGTCTTGTGGCCTTTCAAGTTCAAATCGATCTCCGGCATCGAGATCTTGGGAACGTTCATGTGCACTTCAGGCATCTTCAGTTTAGGGCCTTTCACTTTGCCCTCTGGACCTTCGATGCTCACATCCGGGACACTGATATCAACCTTGGGGCCTGAGAGATCCACCTCTGCCTTTGGCAGGTTCACATCTACATCAGGACCTTCTCCTTTCAGGCCAAACTTGGGCAGCTTCATTTTTGGCAGCTTCATTTTGCCGTCCAGGCCATCCCCGTTGACCTCCGGACCCTCAATATTTACTTTGGGGCCCTTGATGTCGATCTCAGGTCCCTTGAGACCTCCCTCAAGCTTTGGACCTTTCAGGTTGAGGTCGATGTCAGGAATGGAGATATGGGGAGCCTTGATGTGCATCTCGGGCATCTTGAACTTGGGGCCTTTCAGTTTCCCCTCCGGCCCCTCAATGTTCACATCAGGTGCCTCAATGTCCAACTTGGGGCCTTTGATGTCAACTTCTGGACACTGCAAATCCCCCTCCAGCTTTGGAGCAGAGACATCCACATCTCCCTTCACTTTGGGGCCCTTCAGGTTGAAGTCAACGTCGGGCATGGAGAACTTGGGGGCCTTGATGTGCATCTCAGGCATCTTGAACTTGGGTCCCTTCAGCTTCCCCTCGGGACCTTCAATGGCCACATCAGGAACCTCAACGTCGATTTTGGGGGCTTTCACATCGATCTGCGGGGCTTTCAAGTCACCTTCAAGCCTGGGGCCAGAGACATCCACCCCTCCCTTCAGCTGGGGGCCTTTGATGTTGAAGTCAACGTCAGGGAGGGAGACCTTGGGAGCCTTAATGTGCATTTCGGGCATGGTAAATTTGGGACCTTTGACTTTTCCATCCACACTGACATCAGGAGCCTCCACATCCAAGCTGGGGCCTGAGAGGTCAAGGTCTCCCTTGGGGAGGTTCACATCCACATCCACTCCCTCCCCTTTGAAGCCTGGCATGGAGAACTTGGGCATCTTGAACTTGGGCAGCTTGAATTTCCCCTCTGGACCTTCAACATCAACACTGGGGGCATCGATGTCTAATTTAGGGCCTCCAATGTTGACCTCTGGACCCTTCAGTTCACACTCGACTCCTGGCACAGACACGTCCACATCTCCTTTCACTTTGGGGCCCTTCAGATTCAAGTCAATGTCAGGCATGGAGATCTTGGGAGCCTTGATGTGCATCTCGGGCATCTTGAACTTGGGGCCTTTCAGTTTCCCCTCAGGACCTTCAATGTCCAACTCTGGACCTTCAATGTCCACCTTTGGGGCAGAAACATCCAGGCTTCCTGTGGGCAGGTTCACGTCCACCTCTGGACCTTCTGCTTTGAATCCCGGCATCCCGAACTTGGGCATCTTGAACTTGGGCATCTTGAACTTTCCTTCTGGGCCTTGAATGTTCACGTCTGGGGCCTCAATGTCCACTTTGGGGCCTTTGATGTCCACATCAGGAGCCTTCAGGTCACCCTCGAGCTTCGGGACAGACACATCCACATCTCCCTTTAGCTTGGGCCCCTTCAGGTTGAAGTCAACATCGGGCATGGAGAACTTGGGAGCCTTGATGTGCATCTCGGGCATCTTGAACTTGGGGCCCTTCAGCTTCCCCTCTGGGCCTTCCAGCTCTACATCGGGAAGGTCAACATTGACTTTGGGACCTTTGATGTCTATTTCTGGGCCTTTCAATTCACCTTCTACCTTGGGTAGAGACACGTCCACATCTCCCTTCACTTTGGGACCTTTCAGGTTCAAGTCAATGTCAGGCATGGAGATCTTGGGAGCCTTGATGTGCATCTCGGGCATCTTGAACTTGGGCCCTTTCAGCTTCCCCTCTGGACCTTCAATGTCCACACTTGGCATCTCAATATCTACCTTTGGGGCAGAAACATCAACATCTCCTTTTGGGAGGTTCACGTCCACCTCTGGACCTTCCGCTTTGAATCCCGGCATCCCAAACTTGGGCATCTTGAACTTGGGCATCTTGAACTTTCCTTCTGGGCCTTGAATGTTCACATCTGGGGCCTCAATGTCCACTTTGGGGCCCTTGATGTCCACATCAGGAGCATTCAGATCACCTTCAAGCTTGGGAAGTGAAACGTCCACATCTCCCTTTATCTTGGGCCCCTTAAGGTTGAAGTCAACATCAGGCATGGAGATCTTGGGTGCCTTGATGTGCATCTCAGGCATCTTGAACTTGGGGCCTTTCAGCTTCCCCTCGGGACCTTCCAGTTCAACATCAGGAAGGTCAACATTGACTTTGGGACCTCTGATATCCAGATCTGGACCTTTCAATTCACCTTCTACCTTGGGTAGTGACACGTCCACATCTCCCTTCACTTTGGGCCCCTTCAGGTTCAGGTCAATGTCAGGCATGGAGATCTTGGGAGCCTTGATGTGCATGTCAGGCATCTTGAACTTGGGGCCCTTCAGCTTCCCCTCTGGACCTTCCAGCTCAACATCAGGAAGGTCAACGTCCAGTTTAGGGCCTTTGATGTCAATATCTGGACCTTTCAAATCACCCTCCAGCTTTGGCACAGACACATCCACATCCCCCTTCACTTTGGGACCTTTCAGGTTCAGGTCAAAGTCCGGCATGGAGATCTTGGGGGCTTTGAAATGCATCTCGGGCATCTTGAACTTGGGACCCTTCAATTTCCCTTCTGGGCCCTCTATTTGAACATCTGGGGCACCAATGTCCAGCTCAGGACCTTTAACATCCACTTTGGGGCCTTTCAGGTCACCTTCCACGCACGGCACAGACACATCCACATCCCCCTTCACTTTTGGGCCTTTCAGGTTCAGGTCAAAGTCCGGCATCGAGATCTTGGGGGCCTTAAAATGCATCTCAGGCATCTTCAGTTTGGGGCCTTTCAGTTTTCCTTCTGGTCCTTCAATGTCCACATCAGGAACATCTATGTCCACTTTGGGGCCTTTGATATCCAGTTCCGGACCTTTCAATTCACCTTCTACCTTGGGGAGAGACACGTCCACATCTCCCTTCACTTTGGGGCCCTTCAGGTTCAAGTCAATGTCAGGCATGGAGATCTTGGGAGCCTTGATGTGCATCTCGGGCATCTTGAACTTGGGGCCTTTCAGTTTCCCCTCAGGACCTTCAATGTCCAACTCTGGACCTTCAATGTCCACCTTTGGAGCAGAAACATCCAGGCTTCCTGTGGGCAGGTTCACGTCCACCTCTGGACCTTCCGCTTTGAACCCCGGCATCCCGAACTTGGGCATCTTGAACTTGGGCATCTTGAACTTTCCTTCTGGGCCTTGAACGTCCACATCTGGCACCTCAATGTCAACCTTGGGGCCCCCAATACTGATGTCAGGAGCCTTCAGGTCACCCTCGAGCTTTGGAGCAGAAATATCTACGTCTCCTTTCAGGCTTGGACCTTTGAGGTTGAAGTCAACATCAGGCATGGAGATCTTGGGTGCCTTGATGTGCATCTCGGGCATCTTGAACTTGGGACCTTTCAGTTTTCCTTCAACATCCAGCTCGGGAGCATCAGTGTCAACCTTTGGTCCCTGGATGTTAACGTCTGGAACACTCAAGTCCCCTTCCATTTTTGGCACGGAAAGGTCGATGTCTACCCCTCCTTTGGACTTGGGACCTTTCAAATTCAAGTCCAAATCTGGCATGGAAATATGGGGACCTTTGATGTTCATTTCAGGCATTTTAAACTTGGGGCCTTTCAATTTGCCTTTGGGACCTTCAATGTCAAGGTCAGGAACCTCGACATCCACTTTGGGTCCTTTCACAGTCACATCTGAGCCTTTCAGATCCACTTGAGGAAGAGACACATCCACATCTCCCTTCACTTTGGGACCTTTCAGGTTCAGGTCAATGTCAGGCATGGAGATCTTGGGTGCTTTGATGTTCAATTCTGGCATCTTCAAGTGGGGGCCCTTCAGCTTCCCCTCTGGACCTTCTATCTCCAAGCCAGCACCTTCCATATCCAGCTTGGGACCTGAAACATCCAGCTCTGCTTTGGGAATGCTGAGGTCCACCTCCGGCCCCTCTGCTTTAAACCCTGACACCCCAAACTTGGGCATCTTGAACTTGGGCATCTTGAGTTTTCCCTCTGGTCCATGAACATCCACATCAGGTGCCTCGATGTTGACTTTGGGGCCTTTGATGTCCAAATCAGGCCCTTTCAGTTCCCCTTCCAACTTGGGGCTGGAAACATCCAAGTCTCCTTTCACTTTATGCCCTTTTAGGTTGAGCTCCACATCTGGCATCGAGACTTTGGGTGAGGAAATGGTCAGAAAAGGCATTTTGAACTTGGAGCCCTTTGATTTTGCCTGAATATCCACCTCTGGAGCAGCAACATCAACTTTCGGGCCGGACAGCTCAACCTCAGGTTTCTTCACTTTCAGGTCCACCTCAGGGCTTTGCACTTTGGGGCCAGAAAAGCCAAATTTGGGGAGTTTAAACCTGGATTTTTTCCCTTTTCCTTCAAGATCAAGCTTTGGTCCCTCAACCTCAACCTCTGGCCCTTTGATGTCCAGCTTGGGACTCTTCAGCTCAGCTTCTACTTTGGGAATAGAAGGATCAATGTCCCCTTTCACTTTGGGACCTTTCAGATGTAAGTCAATGTCGGGCATGGAGATTTTGGGAACATTGAAGCCAATCTCAGGCTTCTTCAATTTAGGGCCCTTCAGTTTCCCTTCTGGCCCTTCAATGTCCAGGTCAGGAACAGAAACATCAACCTTGGGACCCGAAATAGCAACATCGGCCTCAGGAAGGTTGACATCAAGATCTGGGCCTTCTCCTTTCAACCCAGACAACCCAAACTTGGGCATCTTGAACTTGGGCATCTTAATTTTACCTTCAGGGCCATGAATGTCCACGTCTGGGGCCTCAATGTCCACTTTGGGGCCTTTGATGTCCACATCAGGAGCCTTCAGGTCACCCTCGAGCTTTGGGAGAGACACGTCCACATCTCCCTTAACTTTGGGCCCCTTGAGGTTGAAGTCAACGTCGGGCATGGAGAACTTGGGAGCCTTGATGTGCATCTCGGGCATCTTGAACTTCGGGCCTTTCAACTTCCCCTCTGGGCCTTCCAGTTCAACATCAGGAAGGTCAACATTGACTTTGGGACCTTTGATATCCAGTTCTGGACCTTTCAATTCACCTTCTACCTTGGGAAGAGACACGTCCACATCTCCCTTCAGCTTAGGGCCCTTCAGATTGAAGTCCACATCAGGCATGGAGATCTTGGGAGCCTTGATGTGCATCTCGGGCATCTTGAACTTGGGGCCTTTCAGTTTCCCGTCAGGACCCTCAATGTCCACCTCTGGACCTTCAATGTCCACATTTGGAGCAGAAACATCCAGGCTTCCTGTGGGCAGGTTCACGTCCACCTCTGGACCTTCCGCTTTGAATCCCGGCATCCCGAACTTGGGCATCTTGAACTTGGGCATCTTGAACTTCCCTTCTGGCCCTTGAATGTTCATGTCTGGGGCCTCAATGTCCACTTTGGGGCCTTTGATGTCTACATCAGGAGCATTCAGGTCACCCTCGAGCTTTGGAACAGACACATCCACATCTCCCTTTAGCTTGGGCCCCTTCAGATTGAAGTCAACATCAGGCATGGAGATTTTGGGAGCCTTGATGTGCATCTCGGGCATCTTGAACTTGGGGCCTTTCAGCTTCCCCTCGGGACCTTCCAGTTCTACATCAGGAAGGTCAATATCGACTTTGGGAGCTTGGATATCTATTTCAGGGCCCTTTAAGTCACCTTCCAACTTGGGAAGAGACACGTCCACATCTCCCTTCACTTTGGGGCCCTTCAGATTCAAGTCAATGTCAGGCATGGAGATCTTGGGAGCCTTGATGTGCATCTCGGGCATCTTGAACTTGGGGCCCTTCAGCTTCCCCTCAGGACCCTCAATGTCCGCCTCTGGACCTTCAAGGTCCACCTTTGGAGCAGAAACATCCAGGCTTCCTGTGGGCAGGTTCACGTCCACCTCTGGACCTTCCGCTTTGAAACCCGGCATCCCGAACTTGGGCATCTTGAACTTGGGCATCTTGAACTTCCCTTCTGGCCCTTGAATGTTCACGTCTGGGGCCTCAATGTCCACTTTGGGGCCCTTAATGTCCACATCAGGAGCCTTCAGGTCACCCTCGAGCTTTGGAACAGACACATCCACATCTCCCTTTAGCTTGGGCCCCTTCAGGTTGAAGTCAACATCGGGCATGGAGAATTTCGGTGCCTTGATGTGCATCTCGGGCATCTTGAACTTGGGGCCCTTCAGCTTCCCCTCAGGACCTTCCAGCTCTACATCGGGAAGGTCAACATCAACTTTGGGACCTTGGATGTCTATTTCTGGGCCTTTCAATTCACCTTCTACCTTGGGAAGAGACACGTCCACATCTCCCTTCACTTTGGGACCTTTCAGGTTCAAGTCAATGTCAGGCATGGAGATCTTGGGAGCCTTAATGTGCATCTCAGGCATCTTGAACTTGGGCCCTTTCAGCTTCCCCTCTGGACCTTCAATGTCCACACTTGGCATCTCAATATCTACCTTTGGGCCAGAAACATCAATATCTCCCTTTGGGAGGTTCACGTCCACCTCTGGACCTTCCGCTTTGAAGCCCGGCATCCCGAACTTGGGCATCTTGAACTTGGGCATCTTGAACTTTCCTTCTGGGCCTTGAATGTTCACGTCTGGGGCCTCAATGTCCACTTTGGGGCCCTTAATGTCCACATCAGGAGCATTCAGGTCACCCTCGAACTTTGGGACAGACACATCCACATCTCCCTTTAGCTTGGGCCCCTTCAGGTTGAAGTCAACATCAGGCATGGAGATCTTGGGTGCCTTGATGTGCATCTCCGGCATCTTCAACTTGGGGCCCTTCAGCTTCCCCTCTGGGCCTTCCAGTTCAACATCGGGAAGGTCAACATTGACTTTGGGACCTTTGATGTCTATTTCTGGGCCTTTCAATTCACCCTCGACCTTGGGAAGAGACACGTCCACATCTCCCTTCACTTTGGGACCTTTCAGGTTCAAGTCAATGTCAGGCATGGAGATCTTGGGAGCCTTAATGTGCATCTCAGGCATCTTGAACTTGGGGCCCTTCAGCTTCCCCTCTGGACCTTCAATGTCCACACTTGGCATCTCAACATCCACCTTTGGAGCAGAAACATCAAATTCTCCCTTTGGGAGGTTCACGTCCACCTCTGGACCTTCCGCTTTGAAGCCCGGCATCCCGAACTTGGGCATCTTGAACTTGGGCATCTTGAACTTTCCTTCTGGCCCTTGAATGTTCACATCTGGGGCCTCAATGTCCACTTTGGGGCCCTTGATATCAACATCGGGACATTTTAGGTCACCCTCGAGCTTTGGAACAGACACATCCACATCTCCCTTTAGCTTGGGCCCCTTCAGGTTGAAGTCAACATCAGGCATGGAGATCTTGGGTGCCTTGATGTGCATCTCAGGCATCTTGAACTTGGGACCTTTCAGCTTCCCCTCGGGACATTCTAGTTCAACATCAGGAAGGTCAACATTGACTTTGGGACCTTTGACATCCAGTTCTGGGCCTTTCAAGTCACCCTCGACCTTGGGTAGTGACACGTCCACATCTCCCTTCACTTTGGGGCCCTTCAGGTTCAGGTCAATGTCAGGCATGGAGATCTTGGGAGCCTTGATGTGCATCTCGGGCATCTTGAACTTGGGGCCTTTTAGTTTCCCTTCAGGACCTTCCAGTTCAACATCAGGAAGGTCAACGTCCAGTTTAGGGCCTTTGATGTCAATATCTGGACCTTTCAAATCACCCTCCAGCTTTGGCACAGACACATCCACGTCCCCCTTCACTTTGGGACCTTTCAGGTTCAGGTCAAAGTCTGGCATTGAAATCTTGGGGGCTTTGAAATGCATTTCTGGCATCTTGAACTTGGGACCCTTCAGCTTCCCCTCTGGGACCTCAATATCCACATCAGGTGCTTCTATGTCCAGTTTGGGTCCTTTGATATCCACATCGGGGCCTTTCAGGTCACCCTCCAGTTTGGGGGCAGAAACATCCAGGTCTCCCTTTAGCTTGGGACCTTTGAGGTTGAGGTCGATGTCAGGCATGGAGATCCTGGGGGTCTTGAAGTGCATCTCAGGCATCCTGAACTTGGGGCCTTTAATTTTTGCTTCTGGACACTCGAGGTCAATGTCAGGAACGTTCACATCCAGTTTAGGGCCTTTGATGTCAATATCTGGACCTTGCAAATCACCCTCCAGCTTTGGCACGGACACGTCCACGTCCCCCTTCACTTTGGGACCTTTCAGGTTCAGGTCAAAGTCCGGCATCGAGATCTTGGGAGCCTTAATGTGCATCTCGGGCATCTTGAACTTGGGACCCTTCAGCTTCCCCTCGGGACACTCAATGTCAAGGTCAGGCACATCTATGTCCACTTGGGGCCCCTTAAGTTCCAGATCTGGCCCTTTGATGTCCCCCTCAATTTTGGGAGCAGAAACATCCAGTTCACCCTTCACTTTGGGACCTTTCAAGTTGAGGTCTACATCAGGCATTGAAAATTTGGGAGCCTTGATGTGCATCTCGGGCATCTTTATCTTGGGCCCTTTCCATTTTCCCTCAGGACCTTCAATATCAAGATCAGGAACATCCACATCCAACTTCGGACCTTTAATACTCACATCAGGTCCCTTCAATTCACCTTCAAGTGGTGGTACAGAAACATCAGCACCACCCTTCACCTTGGGGCCCTTCAGGTTCAAGTCAATGTCAGGCATGGAGATCTTGGGAGCCTTGATGTGCATCTCAGGCATCTTGAACTTGGGCCCTTTCAGCTTCCCCTCTGGACATTCAATGTCCACACTTGGCATCTCAACATCCACCTTTGGGCCGGAAACATCAACATCTCCTTTTGGCAGGTTCACGTCCACCTCTGGACCTTCCGCTTTGAATCCCGGCATCCCGAACTTGGGCATCTTGAACTTGGGCATCTTGAACTTTCCTTCTGGGCCATGAACGTTGACATCGGGACCCTCAATGTCCACTTTGGGGCCTTTGATGTCAATATCAGGAGCCTTCAGGTCACCTTCAAGCTTTGGAAGAGAAACATCAACATCTCCCTTCACTTTGGGGCCCTTCAGGTTCAAGTCAATGTCAGGCATGGAGATCTTGGGAGCCTTGATGTGCATCTCGGGCATCTTAAACTTGGGGCCTTTCAGTTTCCCTTCCGGACCTTCAATGTCCACCTCTGGACATTCAATGTCCACCTTTGGAGCAGAAACATCCAGGCTTCCTGTGGGCAGGTTCACGTCAACCTCTGGACCTTCCGCTTTGAATCCTGGCATCCCGAACTTGGGCATCTTGAACTTGGGCATCTTGAACTTTCCTTCTGGCCCTTGAATGTTCACGTCTGGGGCCTCAATGTCCACTTTGGGGCCCTTAATGTCCACATCAGGAGCATTCAGGTCACCCTCGAGCTTTGGGACAGACACATCCACATCTCCCTTTAGCTTGGGCCCCTTCAGATTGAAGTCAACATCAGGCATGGAGATTTTGGGAGCCTTGATGTGCATCTCGGGCATCTTGAACTTGGGGCCCTTCAGCTTCCCCTCGGGGCCTTCCAGCTCTACATCAGGAAGGTCAACATCGACTTTGGGACCTTTGATATCCAATTCTGGGCCTTTCAATTCACCTTCTACCTTGGGTAGAGACACGTCCACATCTCCCTTCACTTTGGGCCCCTTCAGGTTCAGGTCAATGTCAGGCATGGAGATCTTGGGAGCCTTGATGTGCATCTCGGGCATCTTGAACTTGGGGCCTTTTACTTTCCCCTCAGGACCTTCAATGTCCACCTCTGGACCCTCAATGTCCACCTTTGGAGCAGAAACATCCAGGCTTCCTGTGGGCAGGTTCACATCCACCTCTGGACCTTCCGCTTTGAAACCCGGCATCCCGAACTTGGGCATCTTGAACTTGGGCATCTTGAACTTTCCTTCTGGGCCTTGAATGTTCACATCTGGGGCCTCAATGTCCACTTTGGGGCCCTTGATGTCAACATCGGGACATTTTATGTCACCCTCGAGCTTTGGAACAGACACATCCACATCACCCTTCACTTTGGGCCCCTTCAGATTGAAGTCAACATCAGGCATGGAGAACTTGGGAGCCTTGATGTGCATCTCGGGCATCTTGAACTTAGGACCTTTCAGCTTCCCCTCGGGACCTTCCAGTTCAACATCAGGAAGGTCAACATCAACTTTGGGACCTTGGATGTCTATTTCTGGGCCTTTCAATTCACCTTCTACCTTGGGAAGAGACACGTCCACATCTCCCTTCACTTTGGGACCTTTCAGGTTCAAGTCAATGTCAGGCATGGAGATCTTGGGAGCCTTGATGTGCATCTCAGGCATCTTGAACTTGGGGCCTTTCAGTTTCCCCTCTGGACCTTCAATGTCCACACTTGGCATCTCAATATCTACCTTTGGGGCAGAAACATCAACATCTCCTTTTGGCAGGTTCACGTCCACCTCTGGACCTTCCGCTTTGAATCCCGGCATCCCGAACTTGGGCATCTTGAACTTGGGCATCTTGAACTTCCCTTCTGGGCCTTGAATGTTCACGTCTGGGGCCTCAATATCCACTTTGGGGCCCTTGATGTCCACGTCGGGAGCCTTCAGGTCACCTTCAAGCTTGGGAGCTGAGACTTCGATGTCCCCTTTCATGCTGGGTCCTTTCAGGTTGAAGTCAACGTCAGGCATGGAGATCTTTGGAGCCTTGATGTGCATCTCGGGCATCTTGAACTTGGGGCCCTTCAGCTTCCCCTCAGGACACTCCAGATCAATGTTGGGTGCCTCAACATCGACTTTCGGCCCCTTGATGTCTACGTCTGGACCTTTCAATTCACCTTCTAGCTTCGGAGCTGCGACATCCATCTCTCCTTTCACCTTCGGTCCCTTCAGGTTCAAATCTACGTCGGGCATGGAGATTTTGGGGGTCTTGATATTCAGCTTCGGCATCCTGAACTTGGGGCCTTTCCATTTACCTTCTGCTCCTCCAACATCCAGCTCTGGCCCTTCAAGATCTACCTCTGGTCCCGAAACTTCTATCTCTCCTTTTGGCACATTGATGTCCACATCAGGTCCCTCAATCTTCGGACCAGACACATGGAATTGAGGCAGTTTCATTTTGGGCATCTTCAGTTTGGCTTCTGGACCTTCCAGGTTGACATCTGGCACCTCCACATCTACTTTGGGCCCCTTGATGGTAACACCAGGTTCTTTCAAGTCACCTTCTACCTTTGGAAGAGAAACGTCCACCTCTCCTTTCACTTTGTGCCCCTTCAAGTTCAAATCCACATCGGGCATCGAGATCTTCGGCGTCTTGATATTGAGCTTGGGCATCTTGAATTTGGGGCCTTTTATTTTCCCTTCTGGGCATTCCAAGTCCACCTCGGGCATCTCAACATCCACTTTGGGACCTTCCATGCCTATTTTGGGGCCTTTCAAGCTGAGATCTACATCTGGCGTGGACAATTTGGGGGTCTGGATGTTCAGTTCGGGCATTTTCAGTGCGAGACCTTTCCCTTCTGGCCCTTTGATGTCCACATTGGGCACATCAATGTCAACCCTGGGACCAGAAATGTCCACCTCGCCCTTGGGAAGGGTCACAGCCACATCGGGGACCTCTCCCTTCACCCCAAACTTGGGCATCTTCAGCTTGGGCATCTTCAGTTTGCCTTCAGGACCATGAATGTCCACATCTGGGGCTTCAATGTCAACCTTGGGGCCTTTGATGTCGAGCCCAGGGGCTTTGAGCTCCCCTTCCAGTTTAGGGGCAGAAACATCGAGGTCTCCCTTCACTTTGGGCCCTTTCAGGTTCAGGTCGATGTCAGGCATGGAGATCTGGGGGGTCTTGAAGCTCACGTCCGGCATCTTCACCTTGGGGCCTTTCAGTTTCCCTTCTGGCCCTTTGATGTCCACACTGGGCACATCAACATCAAAGCCAGGGCCAGAGATGTCCACTTTACCCTTTGGGAGCATCACATCAACGTCGGGGGCCTCTCCCTTCACCCCAAACTTGGGCATCTTCAGCTTGGGCATCTTCAGTTTGCCTTCAGGACCATGAATGTCCACATCGGGGGCTTCAATGTCAACCTCGGGGCCCTTGAGCTCTAGTTCTGGACCCTTCAGATCAGCTCTTACTGTGGGGATGGAGACCTCCACACCACCCTTCACCTTGGGGCCCTTCAGGTTCAGGTCAACGTCTGGCACCGAGACCTTTGGGGCTGTGATGAGCATCTCGGGCATCTTCACCTCGGGGCCCTTCAGTTTTCCTTCTAGCCCTTTGATGTCCACATTGGGCACATCAACGTCAACCCTGGGACCAGAGACGTCCACCTCTCCCTTGGGAAGGGTCACAGCCACATCGGGGACCTCTCCCTTCACCCCAAACTTGGGCATCTTCAGCTTGGGCATCTTCAGTTTGCCTTCAGGACCGTGAACGTCCACATCTGGGGCTTCAATGTCAACCTTGGGGCCTTTGATGTCGAGCCCAGGGGCTTTGAGCTCCCCTTCCAGTTTAGGGGCTGAAACATCGTGGTCTCCTTTCACTTTGGGCCCTTTCAGGTTGAGGTCGATGTCAGGCATGGAGATATGGGGGGTCTTCACGTGCACCTCCGGCATCGCGACTTTGGGGCCTTTAACGTTGACATCAGGAATGGCCATTCCCACCTTGGGGCCGCCGATGTCGAGCTGGGGTCCTTTCAAGTCAGCACCCAGCTTTGGGACAGCAACATCCAGGTCTCCTTTGAGCTTAGGGCCCTTCCCATGGAGGTCCAGCTCTGGTGCGGATACACCAGGGCCTTTCAGGAGCCCCTCTGGGCTTTCAAACTCAACACCAGGAGCCTTCACGTCCACCTTGAGACCCTTGGGGCCGAGTCCTTTGACTTCTCCTTCCACCCTGGGCACGGTGACACCGGCATCGCCCTTTGCGTGGGGGCCTTTCAGCTGCAGGTTCACATCCGAGAGGGAGATCTGAGGAGTTTCCACCTTCTTGAACTTGGGGCCTTTCCATTCCCCTTCCATGGCCACGTCGGGAATGCAGACATCAGCCTCAGGTGCCGCTGGTCCCACCGTCGGGAGCGCCGCTTCCACAGCAGCACCTTTGGGAAGGCTCACGGTTGGCATCCGGAGCTTCCCTTTGGCACCGGGAATGTCCACATGGGCTGCTGGGAGCTCCACACCGGGGACTTTCACTGCTCCCTTCAGCCCCACATCCACCTGCGGGGATGGGATTTCAATGGAGGGAGCTGGGATTTCAACGGAGGGAGCTGGGATTTCAGGTCCTGTGACTTGGATGGATGAGGAGGGGACGTCCATGAATGGAGCCGATGGTGCCGGAGCATCGGAGCCCAAGACCGGGAACCCGAATTTGGGCATTTTCAACACAGGAATCTGGATTTTTCCCACGTCCAGAGCTGGGCTTTCCATGGCTGGGAAGGAAACTTCCACACCGGGAGCTTGGATCCCCCCCTGCACACAAGGGGCAGCAGCAGCATTTGAGAGCATCCCCCCCGGCAGCTCCCCTTGAGCATCCACACTGGAACCGAGGCCTTTCCCATCCAACCGGGGCCCCTTGACGTGGAAACCCGCATCCAGGGATCCCGTTTGTCCAATGGGGATGGAGCCGCCCGGGGACCCCACTGACAGCGAGCCGGAGCCGTCATATCCCGGCACCTCCACCACAATAGGGCTTCCAGTTTCCCCACCGGGAGCATCCATCGATCCCGACACCGTTATCCCGGCTTTTCCCAGTTTTGGGGCACAAGGTCCGGCCGCCGGGCCTGGAGCATCCATGATGACTTTCCCTGGATCAACGTTGGTTTCCATGCCATGGCTGAGCTCCTGGGTCGGGATGCGGACCTTGAAGTCTGTTCCGACGACGTCGACGCCTTTGGCCCCGTCGTGGCGGGTGACATCGACGGTGTAGGCTGTCACCCTCTTGGTGACGGTGATGGTGCTGCTCTGCACCCCAGCACCTTCCACCTCCAGCACCTCCTCCGACTTGAGCCGCGGCTTGATCTTCGTGGTGTAGATCCTCCTGTATTCCTCATCATCTCCACTCTGGAAGCCAAGAGACCTTCATCAGCACCACGACTCTTCCTCTTCCTCCTCCTCCTCCTCCTCCCAGCCCCATCGCCCATCACTCACCAGCACAACCTCAGGGCTGCTGCCCCCCATGAACACGTCGTGGGGCCAAGTCTGTCCCGGCCCTGGGGACTTGTCCCCTCGGCGCTGCAGGCGCAAGCCCACCGTGTGGTGCCCCATGGTGGTGAGGAGCTGGGCCACCTCCCCCGACTGCAGGTTGTCAAAGTAGACCGTGGCGCTCACGATCTGGTCCCCTGCGTGGGGCGAGCAGAGGGAGAGGGGTCAGGGAGGTGGGGAGCGACCGTGAGTGAGCTATGGGGTGGTGGAGCGAGGAGGGGGTGGGAAATGGGGTGATGGAGAGAGGAGGGGGTGGGAAATGGGGTGATGGAGAGAGGAGGGGGTGGGAAATGGGGTGATGGAGAGAGGAGGGGGTGGGAAATGGGGTGATGGAGAGAGGAGGGGCAGGGAAATGGGGTGATGGAGAGAGGAGGGGGAGGGAAATGGGGTGAGGGAGAGAGGAGGGGGTGGGAAATGGGGTGAGGGAGAGAGGAGGGGGTGGGAAATGGGGTTTGGGTCCATCCCTAGTTTTATAATTGCATCTCATTCTGATTCCCAGAGGTGTAAGGAAGAGCAGAGTCAGGACTTTGGACCTTGGACCTAGTACGCTTACACTGAAAATATGCAAGTTACAGAAAAAGGAAATGATTGCAACAAAGAACAAGTGATTGAGTACTACTGTGTAACTTATTTATCTTGACTCACATTTTTTATAAGTATGCATCTGTTTACACTCTTTAAGAGGAAGATCAAAGTTCACAGAGGCTTTTTACAGAGCCATTTTACTACCCTGGGAAAAAAATTATCTTTTTTTTTTTTAATTTTTTTTTTTTAAGAAAACATGGCTTATTATATCCCTTAAATGAAAAAAAACCAAATCTGTCTCTCTCTCCACTTTTGCGTGCAAGATGGATGGTACTTAGTAAAAGGTATTCTGTCTCAAAATTTCTCTTAGAGCACTAATTCATCCTGAAATCAACCCTCTGAGTTTTTCTGCATTAAAATTCATTAGGATGTTTGCAGAGATGATATTCTGCTGTGTCAATTTTGGTCCTGTGGATTAAAGGGTTAATCACATTTCTGTTGTCCTTCAACTTTATTGATTCTGCTGGAAACCATAGACTAGGATAAAATGTGCTATTTTCCGTTTATTCAGTGTGTCAATATTAGCTGAGGAACCTTGGGAAGTTGTCAGAGGCAAGAATTCTATAAACTGCAATAGCTTGCTACAGAAGACATTTTATTTATTTTAACTTCTCCACCTCCATTCCTCTTTGGCATTCAATATGCATATAAAGTGTTGCTGCTATATTCCAGTTTAGTTTAGATTTCTTTGGTTTTATATGTAATTGTTCTGTTACATTTCCGTAGTATGTCAAAGCAAAATCAAGCTTGCTGTAACTCTTCAGGTGTTACACATCTCTGCTTTTTTTTTTTCAGGTTAAATATAAGAAAGCAGTTCTTTACTGTGAGGATGGTGAGGCACTGGAATGGGTTGCTCAGGGAAGTTGTGAATGCTCCATCCCTGGTGGTGTTCAAGTCTGGGTTGGACAGAGAACTTGGCAACATGGTCTAGTGTGAGATGTCCCTGCCCATGGCAGAGGGGTTGGAATCGATGATCTTAAGGTCCTTTCCAACCCTAACTGTTCTATGATTCTGTGAAGTATTTCAGTATAGGATTCCAGATTTTACTCCTATGAATTTTTAGTGGAAGAGTCTAGGAAATATTGCTGGAAAAGGATGGGAAATTTTTCAGATGAGAGTCTATTTATTAGATGATAAAAGTCATTTTCATTCATATTTGCTCTCTTTATTCCTCGTTGCATGGTAATTGCTTAAGCTTCTGATTCAACAGGAGGTAATAGAAGGACATATCTCCTGAAAATACCCATGGTTTGTTGCAAAGATAGTGTTTGGTAAAAATTATTATAATTTTTCAAGTAGGAGAAGGAACTGAGCCAGATGTAAAAAGCAGAGCCCAGAGATAATTCCACCTGTGTGGACCTTTGGAAAATCAAACTCACCTTCTGCAAAGAAATTTGCAAATCCTGGAAGTTTCAGCTGCGAACCATGCTTTGTGTTGCAATAAGATGGCCTTCAATGACATGTACAGAACAGAGTTCTCCACACCTGGAATACTTTGAAGTCAAAGACACAAGTACCTCTTGGATTAGGCACCTTCATCTAGATGTGGCGTTGACATTGTAACCTTTAGATCTTGACATATAAAATGGCAGATAGATGCCTAAAACTTCCACAGCTTCTGTACAGATCTATCATAAATCCTTGACTCTGCTCCTAAATTGTCCTCTTTTTTTTGTCTCATTAAAGTGATGTCTCTCTTAAGGTTCTGCAAAGCAGAAATGACCCTGCATGTCTCAAAAAGTCTAGGTTTTCCATACATGCATTACATAGGTTTTAATATTTATTACTGTATTTGTAGAACTGTGTTACCATGGTTAAGGATATCTAGGCTGCATTTTTGTATTTTGGTATTCAAAACCAGCATAACACAATATGTTGTTGATATAGTCTATATATAAAGACAAATATTTTAACTGTCATAAAATGCTTATGTTTGAATTTCTCTATATTTTAAACAGTATGTCAAATTCTCTTCAGAAAGTTATGTGAAAGATATTAAAATGCAGAAACTGAAACTATGTGGCTTTTTAACATAGGTTATATTTGCAGTAAAGTGCTCATTAGTCAAAACCACATTATTTTGCAACATTTACAAGCCTTACAGTGGGACTTATATCCAATTTAAGAAACTAATCTTGATTTCTGACCTGTTCTTCCATAAAAATATGGGATTTATTTTTCAAATTTTGAAGAGGCTACAGATTAATGATGCAAGCAGTTAAAAGTACTGGCTGGAAGCAATGATTGATTGGAAGCTGGCCCTTGCTTGGTTGAGAACAGGGTGCATGTTGTTAACACAGGCAAAATTTTAATGTTCTAAAATTTTCGTACCAGCCATCGGATTTTAACCCCTTCCCTTGTTGACAGCTGTGCTGTGTGTGAGACATCAGGGTGCTGGCAGCAGGGGGCTACAGCAAATGCCTCTGTGGGAGAAGGCCAGGGGCTGCCCTCTGCTGAACCCATTGCAGAACACAGCAGAGCCCATTAATGAAGCTGGTACCACCTCTGAGAAAACATTTAAGAAAAAGGTAGAACTGCTGGACAGATTGAGGAGAAAGTAACCAAACGAGTAACAAACAGTGGAGCGAACCCCAGGATCAGAGGAAGAGGAGGAGGGTGGTGGGTGGGATGGAGGTGCTTCAAGCACCAGAGCAGGTATCCACTCCAGTCTGTGCAGGACCTGTGATGGAACAGTTATTTCTTGAAGAAACTAAAGCTTGTGGGGAGACTCCATGCTGGAGCAGGGTAGAATTGTGATAGGGAAGAAATGACAGAGAGGAACTATTATGTGTTGGCCATCGCCTCCCCTGTATCACTATAGTACTGGGTAAAAGAGTTGGGAGTGAAGGAACAAAGCTGACCTGGGCAGACAGGTGAGAAAAGTTGCTTTACAGTTTGTCTTTATTTCTTACTAATCTATTTTAACTAGCAAAAATTTAATTAATTTATCCCAAGTTGAGGCTATTTTGCCCATCAGGGTAACTGGTAATTGATCTCCCTGTCTTTATCTTGACCTGCAAGCTTCCTAATCCTGTTTTCTCTCCCCCTCTCCTGCTGGGTGGGGAGTGATTGCGCCCTTAGAAAGGTTAATCCACCACAAAAAACAAATCGGTTCTGTGTCCTGGGAAATTGGGTTTGGCTAAGACATGCTCAGTCATCAGTCTGAAGATTCCAAGTGACTAAAAATTTGACACTGGCCATGAAAAATTTGCTCCACTTGTCAATCCCCCTCATTGTGAAACATTTTTGCATTGTTTCTGAAAACAGTTCACCAGCCCTAGTTTGCAAAATTTGATAGGGAAGTTTATATTTCCATAGCCAATTTGATGATCATATCTAATACCAGTTTATGGTGCACTGGGTGGGAAAGAGATTTTACAAGTCTGAGCCAGAAGCTGCAGAAAAGGTCTTGCTTATTTTGAGTTTAATGCCACATCTTGGAAAGACCATCTCCAAGTTTTACTCTTTTATGTCTACAATATATTGGAAATCACTGAGCAGTTGTGAGTATTTACATTGCAAAGGACCCCTATAGTAAGAAATTCAAGTGCTCCAAAATTTTACAGGGGTGAGGAAGATAAGAAATCTTTGATGAGTAAATGGCATTACTTTAACATCCCATTAGTCACAGACAGAAGTATAGTATTACCTTAGGAACAACTGAATATAAAAAAAAAAGCAGCCAAGTAAACATTATAAGGAGGAAAACATGCGCTGTAAAAACACAGTAATCATGCAAGAGGAACTATCCTTTTCATAGACGCTATTTTCTACCCTATTTCTCTCTGGTAAACATTTTCTGTCTATCCTGTTTGTGTGTGAGAACACATATAAAAGATGTTTTCCTGATGTGTTCCCAAAGTGAAAAGTGCAAACAGAGAGTTACATGATGCTTTCCAACTCCTGCGATGTCTGGTCTATGGAGATGTACCAAAATAAGGAAGCAGCAACATTCAATATTGATATAGTGTAAAGGAAGCCTAGAAAAGGGACATAACCTATTTGAATTTAGGTTTTGTGAACAACTTGTGAAATAATAACTTTATTAAAGCCTTCTCACTGGTTTACCAGACAGAAGGCACATATATCTCTCTGGCTTTTAGGCATGGGAATGAAAGGTGATTGAAAAAATGTCTACTGGTATAAATTAAAGCTTTCCTAGGTGTGCAATGGATTGCTGCAGCTCATCCAAAATTATTATGGGCAGTAAGGAAGAATATAAGGTGAATTCTATGCTGTCTCTGGGTGCTTGGTTGTCACCTAATCTCTACCAGGAGTCAGAGCAAATCTGGTTCTCTCTACCTAGGTGACAACCAAGCACCCAGACATTTTTTATATTCTTCCTTACTGCCCTTTCCATTCCCAGTGCCTCACCTTTCAAAGCCTAAAAGAGAGATATATGTGCCTTCTGTCTGGTAAACGAGTGAGAAGGCTTTAATAAAGTTATTATTTCACAAGTTGTTCACAAAACCTAAATTCAAATAGGTTATGTCCCTTTTCTAGGCTTCCTTTACACTATATCAATATTGAATGTTGCTTCCTTATTTTGGTA